CACGCCACCAGACAGACAGAGTGGGACACAAATTAAAGAAGCAAAGGTAGATGTATAGTTGGTCTAGCCAGTCTTACGGTTCCTCGCAACGACAAAACACACAACTGGAATTGAAGAGAATTAAAGCCATGTGCTTGTCGAAATCGTTGGGATATACGCTGAAGGATTTGGTTCTAAAAAAAAAAAAAGAAATTCGAAAGGATTAAGTACGTTTTTAGTACACAAAAATATGAAATTTGTTTAATTCTGTGCTTTAATATTTAAAATTGCATAATCTCCAATATATAAAAAGTATTTAAATTTAGTTTGCCTATCAGTTTTCGTTAATAGATGCTATTAAAATCAATGATAAATGTGAAAACTCACTTAAAATTATACTTTTAGTCTTCAAAATATATGTTGTGTCACTAATGTGAAAACTTACTCAAAAAATTACACTTCAGTCCTAACATATTTGATCTTTGGTATTTTAGTATTCAAAATTACACATTTATCCCTAACTTAAATGGAACGAAATTTGATTAGTAGATGAAATTAAAACATTTTCTATACATTTAGGCCAAATAGACAATTTAAACATTATGGAACAAAATGACATAAACTTCAAATTTTGAAGACCAAAAATGTAATTAACCAAAATTTGAAAGTTCAGTTCATTTCCAAATTAAATACCCGAAGTTGTTATAGTGATCCTTTATTCATTAAAGTTTAGCCATTAATTCTCAGTACTTGAAACGAACAGTTTTGTTCACAGGATTTACAAACTAAATGAAAAGCTTTAATTTCGTTGACTCCATCAATCCATACTTACAACATAAATTTCAAATTCATCATCTATAAATTCACATGTTTATGTTGAGAATTTCAAGACATTAAATTACCTAGAAATTTTATCATTTTCTTGAATTGTAATTGTCCGTTTAACACAACAAGTCACAGATTATCAATACCAATTTGTGTCCTGATTAACACTTGTAACCATGACAAATGACGGTAAGAAAAAGCTAGACATAGTGGTGTTCCCATGGTTGGCCTTTGGTCACATGATCCCATTCTTAGAGCTGGCCAAGATATGGCGAGAAGGGTCATCAAGTCTCCTTACTATCGACCCCAAGAAACATTGAGCGCTTACCAAGAATTCTATCAAATTTATCTCCATTGACAAGCTTAGTGAAGCTTCATTTGCCCCCAGTCGATGGCCTCCCAAACAACGTGAAGGCTACCATTGACCTACCCTCTGACAAGATTCACTTCCTCAAGAAAGCCTACAGCGGTCTCAAGGACGAGTTGACTCAATTCTTACAAGCTTCACCCCGGATTAGGTCATTTATGACTTTCTCCTTATTGGTTGCCCCCAATTGCGGCAGAGCTTGGCATCTGCACTGATTGACAGCTCTGATCCGCGGACAAAGCTGGAAGACTTTACGGTCCCATCTAAATGGATCCCGTCTTTTTCCAACTTGGCCCACCGATATTACGAGATCAATTGGATCGTGGAGGTCGCACAAAACATTACCTCAGATGTTTTGGACACGTATCGACTTGGGTCCACAATTGTTGGGTGCAACGTGCTTGCCACACGTGATTGTGAAGAGTTCGAAGCCCATTGGTTGACACTCCTCTGACAACTTAACAAAAAGCCTGTAGTACCAGTGGGTTTGATGCCCCTGTTGGTTGACATTAGCATGGAGGAAACAAGTGACACGTGGTTGTCAATCAGTGGTTGGCTAGAAAATCAAGCCAATGGATCTGTGATTTATGTAGGACTCGGAAATGAGTTGACTCTGAATCAAGAAACACTGAGTTAGCTCTCGGGCTAGAGATATCTAGTTTGCCCTTCTTTTGGGCCCTTAGAAATCCATCTAACTTGAAGGAGTCAGATTCAGTGGAGTTACCAGATGGGTTTTAGGAGCGAACCGAAGGTCATGGAGTCTTGTGGACGACTTGGGTGCCTTAACTTAAGATATTGACTCATAACTCAGTGGGTGGTTTCTTGACTCACTGTGGTTGGAGTTCAATTATTGAGGGCCTTCAATTTGGACATCCACTTATTATGTTGCCCTTTATGGTAGAGCAAGGATTGAATGCTAGGATTTTTGAGAAAAATAAGGTGGGTATAGAAATGTTGAGAGATGATCGAGATAGGTTATTGTACCAGAACTCAGCAGCTGAGTCACTGAAGTTGGTAATAACTGAGGATAAGTGAAAGGTTTATAGGGATAAAGCTACAGAGATGAGAGCTATATTTGGTGACAAACTTTGACATGACCATTACATAGACAAATTTGTTGAGCATCTACAAAACTGCAGAAGTCTTCACAAGGATTAAGTTAATGGAGTTCTTAGTAACAAATATTATGTTTTTAAGTAATATGCATTTTATTTGAAGCAAAGGCTTATTTTCATTATCTTGTAATGCAAACAAACTATTTGTTGCTTTGAAAATAAAATGCCATTAGGTTGTTTTCTAATCCTCCACATTTAACCTGTGTCATACATATCTTATAAGGGAGTAGCTTCCCTCCAATCCTAGATCGGACTGGAAAGTATTGTTGGGCCTGTGGGGTCCCACTACAAGTTCCACTACAAGTCCCTTTTTGATAATCTGAACCATTCAATGTATGAAACTCGTTGAGTATTATATGTCTATAAAAAATCACGTTGATCAAATATCGATAGCTATGTGATTAAATCAGTTTTGTATAAAAAAAAATGGACAGTGAACAAATTAACGGTTGACAGAAAACTGATCCGATGAGATAGCTATCAATATCCGATCAACATGATTTTTTACAAGCATATAGTGCTCAACGAGTTTTACAAATTGAATGGTTCGGATTATCGAACCGGGACCCGTGGTGGGCTCCCACAAGCCCAACAGCAACCCAATCCCTCTAAGACTGGAAGAAAGCTGCTTCCATCTTATAATTATAGATTTCTAACAACTCCACTGATTGAACTAATCCTAACTGTCCACGGTGACATCTAGAACAAATGTCCCAAATAGAATTCAAAAAGAGTCTTCCATTGTTATAGAGATTTAAATATCAAATTATTCATCTAAATAAAAAATATCAAAAATAAAATGACACATTGTCTTTTTATTTATTTATTCGTTGGTCATCCAAATACAAGAAACATAAATTGCAATTACTTTAGCCTTTTTACAAGTTCTAATACCATAATTTAAAACCATGTTTTCCACTTAAAACTCAACCTTCATGAACGCATCTACTATTTTTGGAGAGGTACTCAACAAAATTGTGCATGTGCAGATCATGTAGGACCTTGTCACCAAATAGGGCACTCATTTATCTTACTTTCTTCCTATAAATTAATCCCTCGTTATTGTCTACCATAACCAATCTGATTCAGTCGGCCACTTATTTCCTTGTGAAGGACCCATCTTCTTCATCTCTAGGTATCTCAATCCCAACCTTCTTCTTATGGAGTACCCTTGCATTTAAACCTTGGTCTACCATGAATGGCAACATAATAAGTGGTTTCCCAAACTAAAGTCCCTCTATCACGGAACTCCATCCATAGTGAGTCAAGAAACCTTCCACTGATTCATGACCCAATATCTTTAGTTGAGGCACCCAACTCTTCCATACTACCCCTCGACTTCTGGTTCGCTCCTCGAACCCATTCGGCAACTCTACCGATTCGGACTTGTTCGAACCAGGCAGCTTCCTTAATGCCCAGAAAAATGGCAAACCATAGAGCTCCAACCCAAGGCCAACTCAGTGACTTCTTCTTGACTCGGCATTGCTTCGCTCCCCAATGCTACGTAAACCACAGAGCCATTGTTTTGGTTGTTGAGTCGCTCACTGATTGAAAGCAATATCTCGTTGACACCATCATATGCAACCACCGCCAGTGGCATCAAGCCGAGTGGAATTACAAGTTTGGGTTGAAGATCTTGGAGGAGAGTCAACCATTGGGGCTCAAACTCTATGTAGTGTCGTATGGCGTAGACATCGCACCCCAATATTACTGATCTATATTAATATAAGTCAGAAACCCTAGAAGCATTATTTGTTGCACAAGCTAGGATTCGTTTTGTCTCATAAAGGCGATAGGCTGCGTTGGTAGGAAATTGGACCACTTAGGTGGGATAGTGAACTGCTCTGGCTCCATTAGGGTATCGTTAGAACCGTCGATCAAAGCCGATGCCGGACCAAAGAAAGCTACATGCCAGGCGTTGATGATGAGGAAAAAGGGTGAGAAATGCTGAGTTTGGTGGTGATAAGGGGAAACCAGTAAGGAGCAAAGTCATAAATGATCCAATCAGGTGCGGAAGCTTGAAGGAAGCCAGCCAACCCATTCTCGAGTCCGTTGAAGGCTTTCTTCAGGTTAGGAATATGGTCGGAGGGGACGTCCATGGTGGCCTCTGCGTTTTCATGGAGCCAGCCAACCTAGTCTCAAGTCCGTCGAAGGCTTTCTTCAGGTAAGGAATATGGTTGGAGGGGACGTCCATGGTGGCCTCTATGTTTTCAGGGAGGTGGTCGTCAACGTGGGGCAATGGGAGCTCAACAAAATGTATGAAAGGAGATAAATTATGAGGCATGTTTAGCAAGCGTTAAATGTTTCTAGGTGTGGATACAAAGGAAATCTTGTGACCCTTTTGGGCAATTAATTTGGCGAGGTCTAAGTATGGGATTGTCACGACCCAATCTCGGCAAGGCAACCCCCACCAAGAGGGTGTACTTCAACGCTATAACACCTGTACACAATAATCACCTGTAATATTTCTTATATCACATCACCAATAGTGCATAAGACCCTTCGATTGGCCAACATATATGAAATGATCCATTCAGAGACAAAAAAAATATCCTCATGCTACTAAGATAGTTCCCATGCACCACTATCCCCAAAATAAAACATACTATTCGTGAATCCATCAACTAACTTCACAAGAAAATATTTACAATCAACCTACATAAAACAAACGATAAAACTACATCCAAGAGTGACCCTAAGCAAAACCTCAACTACCAGATGTTCACCATTGATCCTCCAGAAACTCTAATCTTCCAAGTTGAGGCGAGCCACACAAAAGTCTAGGAATCTGAAAAAAAAAATAATTAAAAAAAAGAATGAGCTAGAGCCCAATGAGTATACCAATCCCATGGAGTTATAAAGCTTGCTCCTTTCAATTGGGTTCAAAATAAGATAATAAACACGAGTTTAATTGAACTGAAATTTTTAAAAATGAGAAAATTTTGCATAAACCATTATCAAGATTTTTTTTTTCAAAGAATCTCATAATGCAGGAAAAATACATTTGAATAAGGAGAGTAAACAAAAATACAATTTTTTAATACATTAAGATTTCATGTCCATCATATGAACCACTACATAGCCTTAGGGTCGCGTTACCTCGCGACTTAGGTGGTGACGGTACCGTTACTCAAAACATAACCATTGGAACATAACTCATGCCATCGTAGCACTTCAATTCTCATTTCAATGTTTCGGTCCCCAGGACCCCTTATGTACAACGACCCTTATGGTCCTTAAAACATTTCGGTCCCCAGGACCCCTTATGCATTTCGGCCCTTGTGGCCCCAAAGGCTATATTCGGTTACATGACCAATAAAAATAAATACTCTCGCATGACATTTCATTGTCATTTAATCATCATCATCATAAACTTTGAAGGACTCAACTTGAATAAATTCTCATAAAAAAATTAGTGCTTCATTATACAAATGAAATCATATATTTATTTAAACTCAACATTTGACCTCAATAAATTTATAGATTTTCTTCTTATACATATATCATGATGAAATGTGTTACTTCCTTTGATTCAAAAATATTTTCAAACTTTGTATTAAAGATAGAGATAAGATAAATTTCCATGGTAAGTATACTCACCTCCAAATTAGCAAAAGGATAGATTGAAACTCTACGAATTAATTCCCAAGAGGTGTAGAGACGCCTCCCTCCAATCCTAACAATTGGTAAATAGGATCTAAAATTAAGGAAAAGCTTTCAATGAGAATTACAACATCTACAAAATTTATCCTAAATAAGACATGCTATGGAATGACAAGCTAAAGAACTCCTCCAACTTCAAGTCACCCAAACAAACTTCTTGTCCAATCTCCACAACACCCATCCTTTGTACATTTTTTTGAGTTAATAAACTTTTTAAATATCCAATCAATTTATATGCACAATACCACCATCAATTAACTACAAAGGTCAAAAATCAACATTTTCATAAACTCAACAACTTAAGTAAAACCACTTCAATCATTTATAAAATTCCTCCATAGAACATAGAGATACCCAAACTACCATTTATCAAGTCAATTTCAACATATAAATTTCCTAACACCAAAATCCCCAATTTTTACATCACATTCAAACCCTAGATTAACCCAAATCTTAATCTCCAAAACAACCATCAAATTGATCATTTTTCTACATGTAAAACACTCATAGAAACTGATTGAGAGTATAAAACTCAACAATCAAACCCAAATCATAATAGATCTAAAATAGAAAAATTTCATCATCTTTAACTCAAAATATGTAAAACCCAATTTAAATAATTAATCTTCAAATCTTCATTTTTAATCCTCTAAAAATCCATCTTGAATCAATTTATGTCTAGATTATTTTAACTATACTAAAAAAAAAGATGAAATTTCTTACCTTATGATGATTTTTCCACAATTTTTTTGCTTGACTCTTGGTATCCCACAAAACCCTCTTCTCCTTTGTTCTTCCTTCAATTCTCAAGCCTTGAGTTCCTTCCTTCACTACAAGTCCCTTTTTGATAATCTGAACCATTCAATGTATGAAACTCGTTGAGTATTATATGTCTATAAAAAATCACGTTGATCAAATATCGATAGCTATGTGATTAAATCAGTTTTGTATAAAAAAAAATGGACAGTGAACAAATTAACGGTTGACAGAAAACTGATCCGATGAGATAGCTATCAATATCCGATCAACATGATTTTTTACAAGCATATAGTGCTCAACGAGTTTTACAAATTGAATGGTTCGGATTATCGAACCGGGACCCGTGGTGGGCTCCCACAAGCCCAACAGCAACCCAATCCCTCTAAGACTGGAAGAAAGCTGCTTCCATCTTATAATTATAGATTTCTAACAACTCCACTGATTGAACTAATCCTAACTGTCCACGGTGACATCTAGAACAAATGTCCCAAATAGAATTCAAAAAGAGTCTTCCATTGTTATAGAGATTTAAATATCAAATTATTCATCTAAATACAAAATATCAAAAATAAAATGACACATTGTCTTTTTATTTATTTATTCGTTGGTCATCCAAATACAACAAACATAAATTACAATTACTTTAGCCTTTTTACAAGTTCTAATACCATAATTTAAACCATGTTTTCCACTTAAAACTCAACCTTCATGAACGCATCTACTATTTTTGGAGAGGTACTCAACAAAATTGTGCATGTGCTGATCAAGTAGGACCTTGTCACCAAATAGGGCACTCATTTCTCTTACTTTCTTCCTATAAATTAATCCCTCGTTATTGTCTACCATAACCAATCTGATTGAGTCGGCCACTAATTTCCTTGTGAAGGACCCATCTTCTTCATCTCTAGTATCTCAATCCTAACCTTCTTCTTATGGAGTACCCTTGCATTTAAACCTTGGTCTACCATGAATGGCAATATAATAAGTGGTTTCCCAAACTGAAGTCCCTCTATCACGGAACTCCATCCATTGTGAGTCAAGAAACCTTTCACTGATTCATGACCCAATATCTTCAATTGAGGCACCCAACTCTTCCACACTACGCCTCGACTTCTGGTTTGCTCCTCGAACCCATTCGGCAGCTCCACCGATTCAGACTTGTTCAAACCAGGCAGCTTCCTTAATGCCCAGAAAAAGGGCAAACCATAGAGCTCCAACCCAAGGCCAACTCAATGACTTCTTCTTGACTCGGCATGGCTTCGCTCCCCAATGCTACGTAAACCACAGAGCCATTATTTTGGTTGTTGAGTCGCTCACTGATTGAAAGCCATATCTTGTTGACACCACCGTATGAAACCACGGCCAGTGGCATCAAGCCGAGTGGAATTACAAGTTTGGGTTAAAGATCTTGGAGGAGAGTAAACCATTGGGGCTCAAACTCTATGTAGTGTCGTATGGCGTAGACATCGCACCCCAACACTACCGATCCATATTAATATAAGTCAGAAACCCTAGAAGCATTATTTGTTGCACAAGCTAGGATTCGTTTTGTCTCATAGAGGCGATAGGCTACGTTGGTAGGAAATTGGATCCACTTAGGTAGGATAGTGAACTGCTCTGGCTCTATCGGGGTATCATTAGAACCGTCGATCAAAGCCAATGCCGGACCAAAGAAAGCTATATGCCAGGCATTGATGATGAGGAAAAAGGCGTGAGAAATGTTGAGTTTGGTGGTGATAAGTGGCAACCAGTAAGGAGCAAAGTCATAAATGATCCAATCAGGTGCGGAAGCTTGAAGGAAGCCAGCCAACCCATTCTCGAGTCCGTCGAAGGCTTTCTTCAGGTAAGGAATATGGTCGGAGGGGACGTCTATGGTGGCCTCTGCGTTTTCATGGAGCCAGCCAACCCAGTCTCAAGTCCGTCGAAGGCTTTCTTCAGGTAAGGAATATGGTAGGAGGGGATGTCCATGGTGGCGTCTACGTTTTAAGGGAGGTGGTCGTCGACGTGGGGCAATGGGAGCTCAACAAAATGTATGAAAGGAGATAAATTATGAGGCATGTTTAGCAAGGGTTAGATGTTTCTAGGTATGATACAAAGGAAATCTTGTGACCCTTTCGGGCAATTAATTTGGCGAGGTCTAAGTATGGGATCATATGGCCAAAGGTTAGCCATGGGAACATAACTATGTGGAGCTTTTGTTGAATATTGGCTAAGATTTTCCTTGTCAATGATGGTTGCTGATTGAAGAAAAAATGAAAAAGCTAAACATTAAGCCGAGCTACTCATAATAGGGTGGCTAATCTTGTTGGTGGTTGCCTTTAATGTTGTCGACAGCTTGGCTCTTCCATTAAATCTATAAATGGGTAGTAAATTAGAGGAGTTTTGTGTGGTGAAATCAGAGAGTGAGAGAGTTACAAAGTGTAAGCAACTGAGTGAGTGTGAGTGTAAGTGTGAGTGTGAGTAGAGTGAGATTATTGTCTCCTCCGCCTCCTCCATTGTTGCAATATGTGCATTTCTCTCCATATAGTGAAATCCACTGCTCGTGAACGTAAGCAATTTGCCGAACCACATAAATCTTTGTGTGTTCTTGCTTGTGGGCTTGTGTGTTATTGTTTTCTACCTCCTAGGCACAACAAATTGGTATCAGAGCATTGTTGTGCGAAAAACAGAGTAATTTTCTGCAAACTAAAAATTTTGAAGTTATCGAAATCGAGTTTTCAGCCTACTAGGACGACCATCTCAATGAGAGTAGTTCAGACCCAAAAAGACCAACCCATAAGGACACTTCATACGCCCTCATATGCTTGCCGAAGTTTTGCCGGAGACTTGCCAAAAAGTTCAGTCCGGTGAAGAAGGAGAGGCTGAAAAAGTCAACCTGTCTTAAAGACTTTAAGTAGTACTCACTTGTGCACTAATACGACACGAGTTCACACTTGGCATAGTGGTTAGAGCTTTGGTTCGAAGCTTAAGGTCAAGGGTTCAAAACCCTCCACAAACAAATTTCTAAATTATTTTTGGAAAGCTAACACGCCATCGCCATGTCACTGCCACATCAGCGCCACGTACTATCACGTTATCGACAACTCAGTTGCTACATCTGCGCCATGTATTACCATACGTGAAGCCACGCCAGTAACAGCTCAACCGCTATGTCATCGACACGTCAGCACACATGTTTGCCGCATCTGCCACGTCATCAGTCCAGTCAGTTAATTTTTTTAAATTACAGGGAGGTCCTTGAAAGTTTAAGAAATTACATTTCAATCCCTAATCTTGTTAAAATTGTAATTTAGCCTCTGAAACTTCTATAAATTGTAGTAAGGTCCCTGGAGTTTTGGGAAATTGTAATTTGGCCCCTGGATTTGGAGAAATTTCATTGAGGTTCCTAAATAGGTGGAGAAAGTACTTTCCTAGCTAAATCAACCATTCCAGACACAACCGCAGATTCCATTTTTTGAGATTCGAACCCAAATTTTCAATGAAGTTTTTTGGGAGCTTAGACTTTGTCGTGTTGTGGGCATTTCAAGCGTCCATTATTGTTTATGGTGGAGATTATTGAGCAGTTTCAATGGCGGAATCTACAGAGATGAGATAAATCGAGTCCATAAGTAACCCAGTGACTACAAGCAACTCTAGGCATTGGACCCCATTGTCCCATGCTAAGTTCGAAGTAGAAAAGTTTGATGGAAGCAACAACTTCGACATGTGGAGATGCGAAGTTAAAGATATGCTTGTCTAGATGAACCTACACTTCACTCTAGGAGACAAACCAGATGACTTAGACGAGATAGAATGGGAGAAAGTGAATCTCTTGGCCTACAGTTCCATCCGACTTTGCCTTGCAAAAAAGGAAAAGTACGCCTTCACGAAACTTGGAAAGCGCTGGAAGACAAATACATGACAAAAAGAATTATGAACTGTCTCTACTTGAAGAAGAGGTTGTTTCGTTTCGACTACAAGAAAAGTATTTCAATGAATGAACACCTGAACAATGTCAATAAAATTCTTGTCGATTTGAAAAACTTGGATGTTCAAATTGATGATGAAGATAAAGCACTGTTATTGTTGAATTCCTTACCTAACACATATGATCATCTCACCACCACTTTACTATATGGTGAAGAAAAGATCAAGTATGTTAATGTTTTAAACGCCTTGGTAAATAATTTGTTTAGAAGGAAAGATAAGTCTACAAACAGGGACTTAGCATCAGAGGCATTGACAGACAAAGGCAGGATGAATAACAGAAGATATATAGGGTGGGGAAAGTCTCGCTCAAAATCCAGAGGGAGATCATCAGATAGATGACATCTTGCAAAAGACGAGTGTGCTGCATGTTGCTAGAAGGGGCATTGGGCAAAAGATTGTCCCGATAAAGATAAGAAAGATGAAAAGGTGAACGTTGCATGAGATGGAGGTAATGGTTAAGGATTAGCCTTCACAGTTTCATCACTTGGCCATTCTGATGAATGGATTCTAGATTCCAGATGTTCCTACCAAATGTGTCCGAACAAGCAATGGTTCTCGAGCTTACGAGAGTTTAATGGAGGAATTGTACTGATGGGCAACTACCAAGCTTGCCAAACAAAGGGGATTGGAACAATTCGACTAAAGATGCATGATAGAACAATCAGAATTCTTAAAGATGTTAGGTATGTACCAAATTTGACGAAGAATCTCATCTCAGTGGGAGTTCTAGACTCCAAAGGTTACAGAGTAACTATGGAAAGTAAAGTCCTCAAAGTTGTTTGAGGAGCATTTGTTGCAATGAAGGGTACTCGAAAAGGAGATTTATATTTCTTAAACAGCTCTATAGTCATAGGGAGAGTGGATGTCTCCACCAGCTCAGAGGATGATGCGTTAGACACTTCTAAACTTTGGCACGTGCGCTTAGGGCATATTGGAGAAAAGGCTTTACAAGAATTGGTAAAGCAAAGCCTGTTGAAAGGCGCCAAAACAGGGAAGCTTAAGTTCTGCGAGCATTGTGTATTGGGCAAGCAAACAAGAATCAAGTTTGGTAATGTTATTCATCGTACCAAAGGGATTCTAGACTACGTTCAAACCGATGTATGGGG